AGAATGAAAGGATTGGAACTTTTCTCAATGAGCTCACAGTTATATTCCCATCTGTATCAGTTAAGGAGTCTCGGAGGCAGATTTAAGAGGCGCAGATCTTCCGGACTCAATGGTGGAAGATACACAAAACTTCACAAGGGTGAAGTGATTATATCAAAGCAGTAAGCCGGGGTTAAGAATCTTCACCGATACGGTTACTAAGGCATGTAGGTAATTTAGAACTGAATGAAGATCTCAAAGGACACTTCATTGGCTTTGCCATGTGCACCAAAGTGGAGCTTTAAGCACACAACGTATACTCACCTCAGAGGTTGGCCCCTACCATGTGAAAGGTAAATGGGACCGCAACTGCAGTGGTGTGGCATTTTTCCGCCCAAATGTGCACTGCAAAGGGGCTACAGGGTTGCGGTACTCAAGTGCCGTCTCCATATTCCGCTCGCGCTATTCTCAAGGCACAGCATTTGCGTCGATACCGAGGTCCCGTAGCGATACACTCACTCAGCGGTGAAGAACAATCAGTACTGAAGAGCGCAGGCAAGAAGCGTGGCTGGCTATAGTAAGGCGTGTGGCTTGTCGCATGGGGGTAGCGTGGGCGGAGTTTGGAGACACCACTCGGGTATCACTACATTACAGCTACATTTTCGTGCACTTTTGACCGGGGAAAATGGCATACTACTGCAGCTGCGGACCACCTCTACCCAAACATGGCGAGGACCAGGATCCACGGAGGTGAGTGTGGACTTTGTGTTTCACTTGTTTCTCGACTCTGAAAGGCACTTAACAGGCTCCGCGAGGTGCACCAGTGTGATTGGAGTTCCCTGACTGGCGCTTTCATGAAAAGTTGCTGGTCCCCAGCCCTATCATCTAACCTAAGCGAGTCCCACATCTCACCAATCCATTATCTTATTCATTATAAGTGGTCATATAAGAAAAGCGTATAAGATTTGCCTATAAACATAAAAGAATTTTAAAGCGACTGACTCGATCCATTCCCCGACAGTAAGCAACTTTGGCTTCGTGAGCTGCTTCAATGCATATCAACTTTGCATTTGCGTTCAGAATACTGTTTGCCACAGGTACAGTGTTTCCGTCAAACGAATTCACATATTCCTGAATTTACTAGCAACATACGAGCTTGTTGTCCTGAACTGGCAATCTCACCTTGAAGTACTGCACGAGTTTCCGACAAGTGACCGGTTTCCCGTTAATGTATTTCGGTTGAAGGGCGTGAGGATTCAGCAAGGCAGGAACCATCTTCTTCATTTCTTCCCGAAAAATCGGCCGCAAGTCTAGAAGAAAGTCATCATATCGAAGCCGAACTTACAGACACATGTAATCTCATTACCTTTCACATGGCCCCTAAACGATTGCCTCTCGGCAACGCGATAGCCGGGGTAGGGGAGAAGGAAACACAATATTTGCTCAAAACAATCGGACAGTTGTTCCCGAACACTACGAATTTCTTCGGGTTGATCAGCACTGACCTGAAAAGAGCAGTGTTGACATTGGTTGCACTCCTAAAAGACCCAATAGTAGGGAAAACACTATCAATCTGGTAGGTTTAGCGTAACGAACCTTGAGAACTTGCTGTAAGAACTTGGTCCCGCCATCCTCGCCATAGCCATATTCTTCTGGATTCCGAAAGTCCCTCACACAAAAGACGAGTGTCTGGAAAAGCCGGTTGGTTGACTGGTAGTCCTTGAGAGTGTACTGAAAATTACCTGAAATGGTTTGCCGAAGCGTTGGGCTTCCGTCATGGCCAGTCGACCGTATTCGACAAACAAGGAAAGATGTTGCAAGGCATCCTCTTGTATATTATCCACTACATTGTAAATCTGAACGAATAGCACCTGTTATATAAGGAACCACGCGAGCAAAGTGACACAGTTAGTGAACCAAGAGAGGAACAAAGATGAGGCACCGCGACATTTTTTGCACTACAGAGGGAAGAATTGAGTTTTCCATAAAACTACAGACGGAGGCAAACAAGCAGCGGATTCTCAGAAACGGGAGACGGGCAAGAGAATCGTAATTTGCCGCTCCGCCGCGCGCGGCGATGGGCGCGGCGTTTTCTTAACTCGTGTTAACCTGTCGATTGGAGCACCGGACTTCATGTAGACCCCGTCATCGTAGACATTCATT